ATTTACAGTAAAAACCACTATCCTTCCTTTATTCTTCAACATCCCCAAACATAGACTAATAGCCTCCAGTTGTTCAGTAATGAATCAAAAACCCAGATAAAATCAAGTTGCAATTTTTTTCAAATAACAACAAAATAGAGCTATTCCATTCACAGAATGCAAGTGGCATCAAAGAAGCAACATCAAAATTAAAAAGCAATCATCAGAGTGAACAGATAGCCTACAGAATGGGAAATAATCTTTGCCAACTATACATTAGACAAGAGGATCAATGTCTAAAATTTTTTTAGTATTTTTTTAATATTTTATTTATTATTTTTATTTTATGTGTATGAGTATATTACCTGCATGTACATGAGTGCACCCATGTCGTGCAATGCCACAGAGGTCAGAAAAGGGCTTCGGATTCCCCTGGAACTAGAGTTAAGGACAGTTCGTAGCCACCATGTGGGTGCTGGAAATCAAACCTGGGTCCTCTGCAAGAGCAATCAGTGCTTTTAACTGCTGAGCCATCTCTCCAGCCCCTATTATTATTTTTATTTTATGTATGCGAATGTATTGCCAGCATGTGTGTAAGTGCACCCATGTCATGCAATGCCCACAGAGGCCAGAAGAGGGCATCGAACCTCCCTGGAACTGGAGTTACAGATGGCTATTAACCATCATGTGGGTGCTGGGAATTTAACCCAAGTCCTCTGCAAGAGCAACCAGTGCCCTCAAATACTGAACCATCTCTCCAGTCCTGCTGTCTAGAACTTTTTTAAGAGCAAAATTAAACACAGAAAAATTCACATAATCAGTAAATGGGTTAATGAACCAAATAATTCTCAAAATATAAATGTCCAATAAACAAACACTTGAAACAGTGTTCAACTTCCTTAGCTGTGATGGAAACACCACTTAAACTGTTTGGAGAATCTTGCTCACCCCAGTCAGAATGGCTGTCATGAAGAAAAACAACGGCTGGTGAGATGTGGAAAAAGAGAAATCCTTTTACACAGCAGGTAGAAATATAAACTAAGGCAGCCATTATGGAAATCAGTATGGAGGTTCCTCAAAAAACTGAAAACAGAACTACCATATGACCCAATGATACCACTCCTGAGTTTATATTCAAGGACTTTAAGTCAACATACAGCAGAGATACTTGTACATTCATGTTTATGACTGCTCTATTTAAGATAACTCAGAAATGGAACCAGTTTAGATTTCTATCAACAGACAAAGGGATAAAAATGTGGTATAAATACACAATAGAATTTTATTCACCCATAAAGAAAAAATAAATTATGACATTTGAAGGAAAATGTATAGAACTAGAAGTCATTATACTAAAAGAAATAAGCAGGCCTCAAAAGATAAATACCACATTTTCTCTCATTTGTAAAATCTAGATTTAAATTTGGGGGGGGGTAGGTCATGAAAGTAGGAAAGGGACCATGAGAGGAAAGAGAACTTAAGAAGGAAGAAAAGAGGGTAATGAAATACATGTCACATGAATGTGAAAGAAAGAGGATTGGGAGAAGGAAAAGGATTAACAAAAGGGAACCAGGAAGCCATGGAGGGGTAAGAGAGGGGCGAATATGAACAACGTATAACAACGTAAACATAAAAATGTCATAATAAAGTCCATTAATAACTTTGTTAACTTTAAAAATACAGAAAAAAATTGGGGAAACTGGAGAGATGGCTCAGTGGTTAAGCACTGGCTGTTCTTCCAGAGGACCTGAGTTCAGTTCCCAGCACCTATATGGTAGCTAACAATCGTCTGTAACTCCAGTTCCAGAGACTCCAACACCTTCTTCTGGCCTCTGTGGGCACTGCAGGCACATTCTACACTTACATACATGCAGGCAAAACATTCATACACATAAAAATAATAAATAATAAATATTTTAATTCAGACACATTTTAAAGCCCAGAACAAGTATATGAATACTAATCTTGAAGGCATCAATAAACATATATGTCAATATTTAACAGAAATGTTAATAGGCACAAGTTTGTTCTGCTCCTGGCTGCACTATGGAATCTGACATCCATCATCAAGGCAGTGAGCAGTTACAGGAACAGCTCTATTATGATGTGAGCTCTTGGTGGCAAGGCATAGGACCATCTAGTATGAAGGGCCATCTTTCTGGGGGCTGATTTAAGGGTGGCTTGTATAAGAGATGATGACTTTAAGTTGGTAAATGGCATCTCACAGAAAGAAGTCTGTGGTCAAATGATACACCTCTGATCTTAATTACATAAGCAAGAGCTATTTTTCATTTCTGCAAGTTTCAAGAACAAAGATCACCATTTCCTCAACCCACGTGCAGTTCCTGGCACATACTCAGAGAATGGCACTGCCCCAATGTCCTCTTACTGATCATCAAAATCATGGTAATACAGAAAACACTCCAGCTGATCACTGTACAAGGCAAGGGCCAAGTGTGTACAAGCACAGTCTGTGCATGACATTGAGTCTCAATATTTGGCATCAGAATGAATGATTTTCAGTATCTTTTTAAACACCTATTTGCTTCTGAACATAGTAATTCAGCGTGACTGCTCAGTGACATGAAAAGTTTCTCTTGACTAAGAAAAGACATACCTACATATCTGATAGCACTTGTGACTCTGAAAGAGCTTTCCAGAATGTTCTAACATCCATATAACTGTTTTCAAAAGGTCACAAGTCCCTACCTTCTTCATAGGCAGAGTTCATTTCAACCCAAACTAGTCCCTTCTGAAACAGTCATTTTCACAGGACATATGCTAGAAAATTCCAGTATTGCCTGTGGGCATCCCAAAGGAAGCCACAGAACTGAAAACATGATTACTTCTTGAAGAATTAAAACGAAATATAAAACAAGACTATCTCCAGGAATTATGACTCCATCTCCACTAAAATTTGAAAAGTCTATTATTCTAATCACTAGAAATAATTTATCCTTTGAGAATTAGCAATTAATTCCTAGCTACTGATTTAACTTTAGTTAGATCGGAATATTTTCACTTCTTGGAATATATTAACAATGCTCCATTTTTTTCTCCTCTTGTGTTTCAGTGTGCTAAAGTGGCTCATTAAAGTAACATCCCATAATCTTGTGAGTCCCAGAGTCTTAAAATTAAGTTTTCTGTCTTTTAATTTCAAAAGGTCCTTGATCTGAGGAAGCAGCTCAGTTAACCAATTAAGCCGACCATCGGGCTGCATTAAGCTAAGGTCCCTAGACCCATCTCCTTCCAAACAATCCATCAAGAAATGATTAAGGGCTACAACATGAAGAAAATTCACAGACTGTCATATCCTCCATCACATCACATCATCAGCCTGACTTGTAAAGTTCCTAGCTCAGCACAACCTCCCCTGCTCAATGATGCTGTGGTGGCTAAGCACAGCAACCTTTCAGTTCTGTTTTAAATACTTCCCAAATCATTTTTCTTTCCACAGTAGAGTCCCAACTGTAGACAGCAGGCATCCTTTTCCCATGTTTCATTCAAATTTCTTAAATCAACTTTTCAAATAGTTATAATCTATTTCATAATTATATTCTTATGGTATATTTAATTAAATGTTAATATTTCACTAAGAATGTCAGGTAGGACTCATGCTATTGTCAGATTGCTCTTGTATTTTGTTTGTGGTGCCAGAGGTTAAACCCAGACCTTGGGATATGCCAGAAAAGCATTCTAGATCCCTGCTGAGAGCTGGGCACCTTCTCACAGGTGGAAGCTTGTGGCCAAATGATGCACAACTGATTCTATGGACCTAGTCAAGAGCTGCTTTTCAGTTATGCAAATCTCAAGAACAAAAATCATTATAGACAGACAGACAGATTCCGTTTGGCCTGGAAATCTATGAGGGGTGTCCTGGCACATGTCTAGTTGGTTTCACTTGTCTTCTGTCAGGACTAAATGAGTCTTAAGTCTATCTTTCTCCCAGTCAAATGTCAGGATTTCTACCTCTACTCTGTACAGAGGAAACACATGACCTCAGTCCTAGTTTCATTTCTGTTGCTGTGAGAAAATATTCTGATAAAAAGCAACTTAGAGGACAAAGGGTTTATTTTAGCTTACAATTCCAGATTACAGTCCACATTCAGAGGACTGTCATTCTGTCACAGTGGCAGAAGCTTGAAGTCACATCATATCACATCCATAGTCAAGAGCAGAGAAAAATAAATGTAGGCATGCTTACTTTTGTTCAGCTACCTTTCTCCACATTTATACACTCCAGGATCCCTGCCTATGGAATGGTACCACCCACAGTGGGCTGGGCCCTCCCAGATCAATTAACGCTAGTAATCAAGACAATCCTGCACCGACATGAGCATAAACCACCCTGATTTGGACAATCCCTCATTGAGCATCTCTTTCTAAGTGACTCCAGTTATATTAAGCTGACAACTAAAGCTAACCATCACAACCTCAAATTTGTTTGTTGTCCCTTGTTTTGGGCTTATAAGACAGAGTTCCCATATGTAAGTCAGGCGAGCCTCAAACCTAGGATCCTCCCACTTCAGTCTCTAGAGTGCTAGAGTTACAATCTTGTGCCACTACCCCTGACTGACTAGCCACAAATCATTTTACATTTTTCTAATTAATGTTGAAAGCGAACAATTCACAGCCATTTTAGTCTCCAGAAAAGACATAAAAATACATAAATGTTTTATTTGTATATCTCATCTATAATTTAGTTGAACTTAGTAAGAATTGACACTAAGGTGCTTTAATTAAAGCTTAAACAGATTTGTTTCAACCCTTATTTTTTTTTAAATAAAAATCCAAATTATAGTTTTTCACTTCAGAATATCTGAGATGTAATTATATATTAGACAAATAATTTTGGAAAATAATATTTTATGGACCAAATCCTTAACAGGTCATTTTTCTGGTTATTTTCATCCTGAATCTTTAAGTTGGAAATCGGGAAAAAATTCTCTTTAAGAATGCACATTTTAAGCTGGTGATTATTAAACACTACTTCAAAATGTAACTACAAAGCAGACGCCCACCTGATTGAATGACGAGCCACTGTCAGAGCAGTTGTCTGTGCAGTAGCTGTTGCTCGCCTCCTTCTGCATTTTACTCTGCCTGTCTTGACTTTGTGTCTCATCTTCTTCAAACTTGTTAACCATAGACTCGACCACCACCATCATGATGTTCTTTAGGGAATGCATCATTTCTTTATACCTTTAAATCCAAAGTAGAAGCAATAAAAGAAAGAGTATTAGTAGAATTTAAAATAATCAACTAAATTAGATTATCTGAATTCTTATGAACATAATGCTAAATAGGAAAACCTAAGTTACAGTTTCTTAAAGACAAAATGACACAGCAGACTGTTAAGGCATGAATAAAAATCAGGAATCCCAAAAGCATATCATTTCCTGGCCTTTTTTACCTAGAAATATGGAGTAAGGCAGCAAAATTGACACAAATCTGAGGTGAGATGTTCAGTGGCACGTGTTCTGGTTACCAGTAACACAACCAAATGCTAGCATCACACTACCAAAACACAGGCTATTTTACACTCCGGCATTACCCCGCACCTAACCTTCTACCTCTTTTCTCTCCCTTCCCTTTCTATCTACACTTCATATCTACAGGCACCATAGTCCCAAATGAGGCTGTATGCATTCACTCAGGCTCTAAGCTTTAAGCAGTCAGCAGGTCTTTTTGAAGACAAGCAAGACACCCCCATTATCAGATTGACAGGAAACAGTTTTCTAAGACTTAGAATTGGAAAACTTCCAAGATTCCTTCAGCTCTAAAGATCTAGAAATGTCCCCCAAAAGAGACAACTTTCAGTAAATACATTCTTAATAAAATGAAAACTCTCAAATATCCATTAACTGAGATCTTCAAAAGTCCCAGAAATCAAATTTTAGAAAGAGCCATAAACATCCACGCTTTTTCTTTACAGTAAGAAATATGTAACTTTGGCATTTCTATATGAAAAACAAAAAAGTATTATGATTTAAATAAACAGGATATAAAGCATAAATTCAGAATCAGAAATCATGGAGTCTGACCTGCCTACCTTCCAGTTGTCATTATGAATAAGTCTCCATTTCCTCAACTATCAACATAAAAAGAGTATGTTGAACTATTTCATATGACTATAAGATTACATAAATAAGAATAAATATCTGAAAAGGCTTTTCAAATATAAAGCAAAATTATACACGGATTTGTTACCATGGTAACAACAGGACTACATGAGAAAAGTATGCATTGCAATAGTTCTTTCTCCATCTTTCTGGCTAATGGATAACATCACCACAGAAATCAAAGAAAGGAGAGCCACTCCCTCACAAGAGCAATAACACCATCCTGAAGAATTTGGATTCGAATAGGAGGCTGACATTTTGAACTACAAAGTATAAAAAACATTTTGCTGTACTTTGGGTCTGGAATGTCCTCTCAAAGCCCATGTCCCCAGCCCACAGCACTACTGGGAAGTGGTAGAAGACTGTAAGAGATGGAGCCTACAGAGTGCTCTTAGGTCACTGGGAACATTTGCCTTAAAGATGATTTGATGCGCTGATCTCTTGCTCTCACTTTTTCATATCCAGCCATGAAGTGAATGGTCTTTCTTGCCAGGGTCTCCTGGGTCTCCTGCCATTATATATGGCCTCACCACAGAGCTAAAGCAGCCAACCAACCATAGACAGAAACCTCCAAACTGTGAGCCAAAGTAAATCTTTTCTCTTTAAAATTATCTCAGATTTTGATTCTCCTGGCCCACTCTCCTGCCCTCAGGCCTCTCTTGGGGTAAGTCTAGAGTGCAGCCCTCCGTGCCTTGACTCCCCCAACCACGCTCACCCTTCCATCTCCCCCGCTGTTCTCTACTCCAAGCTTGGGCACTGTGCCATTCCTAATCTTGGGGCCCCAGACACCTGGGGAGCCAGTGCTGCTTCCAGACCCTTTTCACCCAGACTGGCCTGGTGCCTTCCTTGGGCCCCAGGAGTACTGCCTCTGGACCCAGACCCACGTTCACCTTTTTCTGCTTCCCTGGTCCTGCAACACCCGCCAGCCTCTTTCTGAGGCTGACAGCCTGCTCCTACCAGCAGGCCTTTCTCCTGGACCAACACAGCTCCTCAATGCAGTCAACAGGAGTCCTTGGGGCCTCTTTCTGCCCCAACTGTCTTTGCATCTCTGGGTGGCACGGCCACCAGCTGCCCTAGACCAGCATCTTTCCTGGGCCAGCCTCCCAGGCCAGTCCAACCCCCAAATTCCTGAGGCCAAAATAGTTCCTGGAAGGATCCAGACCTTTGGAGAAAGCCTGAAAACATCTGAATTGGGCCTCTGTGGGAACTCCTGAAGACAAAAGCAATCTGTCCACAACAATATAAAATCAAAAGAGAGAACCAGAAACTTAGACGAACTAGCTCGTCATACCCAAAAAGTAAATCACAAAGACACATAAAGTTCAAAAAGAACCAAAATAACATATCCCCACCAAATACCAATAGTCTCCTAGAGGAGTACAAAGAGAACCCCCTAGAGATAATGCAGGACATGGAACTCAAAAAAACAATTATAAACATGACAAAAGAATTCAGTGAATTCAAAGAACACACAAAGAAATCAAAGAACTGAAGGATATAGGGATACACTTTAGAATGAATTCAGAAAAGAGCTAGAAATATTGAAGAATACTCAGGCTGAAATAAAGAAAGAAGTGAAACATTCCATTAGCCAATTAGAAACGACAGGAGAAAGCATCACCAATAGGATGAATGAAATGGAAAACAGAGTATCAAGACTGGAAGATAAAGTGGACGAATTGGACCACTCAAGCAAAGACTATGAAAAATTTAAGAAATCTCAAGAATGGATTAAGCAGGAATTGAGTGATACCAAAAAAGACCAAACTTGTGAATCATAGGCATACAGGAAGGAGAAGAATGCCA